ATATGAAACAACTAAATGATACAACGAAGAAATTGGCAGGAAGTTATATATATATATATATATATATACATATATCGGTCGTGCACAGACCAGACTGCGACACAACAGATCATCGTTGAACAATCAGTTGAGTGGAACTCATCACTATACATCGACTTCATTGACTAAGAGCAGTCGTTTAACAGTGTGGACAGTAGAACATTATGTAAACTTCTTCGACACTATGGAGTTACTGAAAAGATTGTCAACATTATCCAAAACTCATACGATGGACTACAGTGCAAAGTGGTGCATGGAGGACAGCTGACAGATGCATTTCCAGTAAGGACCGGAGTCAGACAAGGCTGTCTACTCTCCCCATTCCTCTTCCTACTTGTGATTGACTGGATTATGAAGAATTTGACATCTGAAGGGAAATACGGAATACAATGGACAGCTCAGAATCAATTAGATGATTTGGACTTCGCAGATAACCTGGCACTCCTCTCTCATACACACAAGCAAATGCAGATGAAGACCGCAAATGTAGCAGCAGCCTCCGCATCGATAGGCCTCCCAATTCACAAAGGAAAAAGCAAGATTCTCAAATGCAACACAGAGAACACCAACCCAATCACACTTGATGGCGAAACTCTGGAAGAGGTGGAAACATTCAAGTACCTGGGGAGCATCGTTGATAAACAAGGAGGATCGGATGCAGATGTAAAGGCGAGGATTTGCAAAGCAAGGGCAGCATTTCTACCATTGAAGAACATATGGAACTCAAAACAACTCTCAACCAATTTCAAGGTGAGAATCTTTAATACGAACGTCAAGACAGTCCTACTGTATGGAGCTCCCCATATATATATATATATATATATATATAACTTCCTGCCAATTTCTTCGTTGTATCATTTAGTTGTTTCATATTCCCTTCTCTTGCAGCTTTCTCCGCCGTCGTTGCTAGTTCTCCCATGTATTTCTGCTTGTCGGCTTTAATGCTTTTCTTCAATTCCCTGTTTGCTTCTGCGTAGTCTGCTTGTGCTTTGACTTTCTCTGTTCGTGTTCGGCTGTGGTTAATTGCTAGTTTCTTGTTCTTCCTTTCTTGAATTTTGTCCAGGGTTCCCATAGAGATCCATCCCTTGTGATGATGCTTCTTAGGGCCAAGAACCTCCTGACACGTTGAAGTTAGTGCTTCTTTTATCCCTTTTCAGTTGTCCTCCAAAGTAGTTTCTTGTTTATTCAGTAGATCCTGGAACCTGTTGTTGAGAGTTATCTTGAATTCATGGAGCTTGTCAATATCTCGAAGGAAGGCTGTATTGAACCTTTGTAGTGATGTTTGTCAAGTTGTCCAGTGTTTCTTTAGCTTCAGTCTCATCTTGGCCACAACCAGGTGGTGATCTGAAGCTATGTCAGCTCCTCTCCGGATTCTCACATCTTCCATTGATCTTCGGAATTTTTTGTTGATACAGATGTGATCTATCTGGCTCTCTGTGGTATGGTCCGGTGAGATCCATGTAGCTTTGTGTATGCGTTTGTGTGGGAATATTGTGCCGCCTATAACCAATTTGTTGAATGGACATAGGTTTGCAAGTCTCTCCCCATTTTCATTTTTTTCTCCTAGTCCGTGTCGTCCGATTATATCTTCATATCCTGTGTTGTCCACTCCAACTTTAGCATTTAGATCTCCCATCAGGATGGTGAGGTCCTTTCGTGAGCACTTCCCTATAATTGATTGCAGCCTTTCATAGAACTGATCTTTATCATCGTCGTTGCTATCATTGGTGGGTGCATAACATTGGATAACGTTCATTGTGATCCCTTGCTTCTTTGTTCTGAATGATGCTTTGATTAACCTGGGTCCATGAGATTCCCATCCTACAAGTGCATTTCGTGCTTCTTTGGACAGCATTAGAGCAACTCCCTGAGTGTGTGGAGCATGTGATAAAATAAATGTAGAGTTATGATCAAGATTTTGTGCACTTAATTTATCTACCAGATATATGTAAATAATTTAATTATAAGTACATGAATTGTGGGTATAACATATACCTGGTAAAATAATATAATGAATCTGATCAGAGTATGATTCATCTGAAACATGCAACTTAATTGAATCAGAACTCAAAGTTTAGTTTTAATTTCAGCAAAATGAATAGTAGTATTACAAACCAACTGTATGTGTTCAATTTTACCACATTCGACGGATTTAACTCTACGAAATGCACACGAATTACTTGGGAGGACTTCGCCACAGGATAAACATCTACCAAACTTGTGCTCATCTTCGCAACCTGTTTTAAAACTCTTCAATGAATTGTAAACTGCATAACGTTGAGTGCTCATTGGATTGGGATGACTTAGTATTCGTGTGGAATTTTTTATATCCTGACGAATCAATAAACTAATAGCAGAACCATCCTGACACCTTGATAAGAACAAAAGCGTAAGGGAGTGGGTAAGCTCCTGTGAGGAATGGTAGAAATCCGGAGTGATTAGATAGAATAAATCTCCCTTGACCTATTTCGCAACTCTTGACGCTCATTTCGACTATGTTCACCTAAATTTTATGAGACGGTACCAGATTCAAATGAATACTCATGTCTCTCAACGTGTGCGGGCCATCCAGCATGATGATCAGAAACAGTAAACATCAAGGACTGCATTCCCGAAATAGTGGTATGTCTTCATCGAACGGTCGGTAGGAAACTTCGAGTGCCTTTTTAGTATCCTTGTATCTGACTGCAATTGAATCGTATGAATGATTGTTATCGAAATATGCAACGCAGCCACAATCTTATATATTGGTAGGTCCAATTCGCGTTGAAGAATAAAGGAAAAAGTCAAATATGAGAATGAAGTTTGAATACGTGTATTTCGTATAATCATTGATCCAGATAGACAATCAGAAAAACGAAGCTAAGAGGAGAGAGCGAAGCGAAACGAAATGACGCGCAGTGGAGAGAGTCAACTCCATTTAACTAAGCATGGATCGATATTAATGGTCAAACCGAAAACAAGTTATCAGTATGGGGTTTCGGAGATTGTTGAGTTTTTGATTAAGATCATGAGTCGATTGATGTTACAATCGAAAACCTGGAAGCACTAGATGGCCGTTTCTTCCCAGTATAAGACTCCTCAGTAGTGCGCATCCACAATCCCACAGGCGGGATCCGAACCCATGACCTCAGATTTCGCGCACGAACGCCTAACCTTTAGAGCACTGAGCCAGAATCCAACGGTGTTAATGTTACAGACACATAATGAATAGGATAAGTAATTAATACGCCGACCAGCTTTCTCCAACCCACTCTGTCCTGAGCCTTCTTTTCTAGTTCTTTCCAGTTCTTGTTCATTCTTCTCATGTCTGTCTCTATTTCTCGGCGTAATGTGTTCTTTGGTCTTCCTCTTCTCCGTTGACCTTCAGGATTCCATGTGAGGGCTTGCGTTGTGACGCAATTAGCTGATTTCCTCAAGGTGTACCCAATCCACTTCCAGCGCTTCTTCCTGATTTCTTCCTCTGCTGGAATCTGGTTTGTTCTCTCCCACAGTAACTTATTGCTGATAGTGTCTGTCCAGCGGATCCGAAGTATTTTGCGTAGACAGCTGTTGATGAACACTTGTATCTTCTGGATTATGGCTTTCGTATTTCTCCACGTCTCCGCCCCATACAGTAGAACTGTCTTGACATTTGTATTGAAAATTCTAACCTTGGTGTTGGTTGACAATTGTTTTGAGTTCCAGATGTTTTTCAGTTGTAAATATGCTGCTCTTGCTTTGCCGATCCGCGCCCTCACATCTGCATCTGATCCACCGTGTTCATCCATGATGCTGCCCAGATATGTAAAGGTGTTTACATCCTCCAAAGTTTCTCCGTCAAGTGTAATTTGATTGGTGCATATTGTGTTGCATCGAAGAGTCTTGCTTTTCTCTTTGTTTATGTTGAGACCTACTGCTGCTGCTACACTGGTCGTTTTCTCCTGCATTTGTGATAGAAGAGCCAGATCATCCGCGAAGTCTAAATCGTCAAGCTGCATCCTGCCTGTCCACTGTATCCCGTGCATTCCTCCAGATGTTGACGTCTTCATAATCCAGTCGATCACCAGGAGAAAGAGAAAGGGTGAGAGTAGGCAACCTTGCCTAACACCGGTCTTTACCTCGAACGAGTCGGTGAGTTGTCCTCCGTGGACGATTTGGCAGTTTAGTCCATCATAGGAGTTCAGTATGATGTTGACTATCTTCTCAGGCACGCCGCCTGTAGCTCCTCCAGGGGCTACTGCCGGTCCCAAGCCCGGGTAAAGGAGGAGGGTTGGGCATGGGGTTAGCGACCCCATCCCGTAGAAAATCAACTCGCTAAAAAACGCTAATACGCATACGATCATATGGAAACAGTCAGGGCTAATAAGTGACAAGGTCAAGAGGTGGTTTCAGAAGAATGAATAAATTTATCTGCCCAGAATAACCACTACACCCTCAACTATCACTAAAGACCGTGGATTACAGTTTGAATCTGGAATATTTTGTTGTTTTACTATACTACCAGGTATCACACGATTCTGAACGAGCGCCCGTCACTCATTACATACATATGTAATACTGGACCTCAGTCACATCTTTTTAATTTAACAACAAATAGTGGTGATCAAAAACTGTGCACATTTACGCATAATGTGGCAGAACCTCATTGACTATCAATCCAAAACACCTAGAGCTAGCTGTCAAAACTATAATTCTGAGGCTTGTTTCCGTCATCGTACTGATGTTGAACAACATAGTGAAAACTGACTTAATATTGTTTGGTTTTCGAATACCTTTGTATGTTTATTGAAATGTACAATATATATGAACAGGGAATAACGGACCGAAACAATAACAAATAATTAACTAACGATCTCCAACACATTGAGAAAAAAAGCAGTAGTAGATAACAAAGTTAGTTAGTCCAATATTGTTTATCACAGAATAATATAGTGAGAAAATAATGTAAAGAACAAAAAAAGTGACGGAAAATTTTGTATTTATGGATAGAACCAATCAAGAAAATGAAGAGAGAATGTTAAGATTATAAGAATAAAAAGCATCCAAAATTGTACAGTTGCTTTAGAATTGATTGCTTCACGAAGTAATTCATTTCCCTGACGAATATACTCAGTGGCAGTTACAGACGAATCAGCTATCTTTTCAGTTGTCTATAGGGTAACAGTAAACAAAATAAAAGAATTGATATTCCAAAAACAACAATAGTTAAAGTTTAGAACAGCAAGAATAATCAAAAATAATGTTAAGGACTATTGCCTAAGTGATTGTGACAAGTTTAAAAAGATAATAAGGTATGACTATAAGTTACGGATGAAATCAGAGTTAAGATATCAACTCTTGAATTTTTGTGCACAGTTCATTTTGGCATTAAAGCTAATATCAGTTTGTGACAAAGAACCCCTAACTAGTAACTCTAAATCTCAATCCCAATTTTTCACATTAATTTCTAACTCTATTATGACCCTAGTAATTCGTTGAGGTTCTCGCAAGACTACTTTAGTATCACACAAAGGTTGTCCATAAACTATAATTTCGCCGATAATTACATGTCACACGTAAGAGTGATTACTAAAACTTGATTTCCTAGTCAATGCAAAAGAAAAAAATTTCAATGACAACTACTTTTAGCTGTTAAGGAATAAGTTTTTTGCAAATCATTTTTAAGGGGTTTTCAAAACATTCAGGAAACTAACACTTCTGGGATTTGGATTTAAGAGAAATGGTACCGCATTCAGAGGAACATAACGTTAAGCTACTCGAAAACGCAGTATATATGTGAAATTATCTTGCCTAACTATAAGCCTCCAAATTCCCTGGTACAGCCAAAAGTGCGGAGAGTCCGCTCTCCCTCTTCAAATGCTCTCACATGGCCACGTGTATGCAGCCTCTGCCACTCAAGTCCTACTCACTGTCTTCTCGTGGCATTATTGTTGTTTACAAAATTGAGAAGACGAAGAGCGAATGTACGGCGCTTTAACCCGATTGGTGGACACGGAAAGTCCACCTAGAGGAGTTGGAAAACCCTGATTCCAAACCAATGGTGCACATGGGCTCCAGTATCCTGATGGAACGAATGGCGTATGAATCAATCGTTGGTCACCGGCCACCATGGGACTGCATCTCTTCTCGATGCTCCACTGCTTTGCGGATGAGACCTTTAGGTCGAAGGCTCCGGGTGTGGCCCCATAAGAAAACCACCTGCTTCAGTTTGGGCACCTGGACAGTATCACAGTCCTCACACAAAACTCATTTGATATGTGCGGCGCATATGTATCTGGTGCTTCCTTGTACCAATATTTATGTGTTTACATAAAATAAAATAAACTATAAGTTATCTGTTATGCATCAACGTGAAATACCATTTGTTTACACTGAATAATACAGTAAGTGTATTAAAAACCCTTTAATAAACATAAATAAATAAATAATATATTTGTAATATCCCAATGAGCAGAAAAATTAGATTTTCTAGCGTTTCGTAACTCAGTGTAATCCACTTCTTCAGAGAATAAATAACCAAATTAACATTAATCCAAGTTTAAATAGTACAACGGAACAACACGAATATTATGTGATCAATCATAAAAGAGGTCTGAATAAATCAATGTCATGTCATTTCATTTCGGTCAAGGTGATTCATAAGCGACAGGTAAGCATATTTGTGTGTGTGCACTGTTAAGGATGAAAAATGTGTAACAAAGGATAGAGTTTAATTTGTAAGGTAAAATAGTATGAATAGTAAATAATATCAGACTAGGTGACTAGGATAGGTAGTTCAAGTAGGATGTATAGTGAGGCCTTCCTTTCTATTGAGAGCAGTAGGATTAAGCATTATATGGAAAGCTTCAGCTACTCTCCTTTCATTGTAATTGGAAAAACCTTTTTGTAGAATTTTGATATTTTTGAAATTAATTTGATGATTGTTGAAAATGGCGTGAACTGTCATTACCGATTTAATATGAAGTCTATCCAGTTCTACATGATTATTAGGAAGTTTCTTTGTGTACCTAATATGTTCTTTAGCACGAGTCAAGATTTCGCGAGATGACTCTCCCATATAGTAGGCATCACAATCGACAAACTCTAAATTGTAGAAACAGTTCCGTGTAGACATGAATGGGATTTTTTTGAATCGAACTAAAGTATTTCGAAGTGTGTTCATTGTTTTGTAATATACTTTAATTCTGTGATGTTTTAAGATCCTTTGGAGTGCTTCTGATGTGCCATGACGATAAGGTAAACTGCAGTGGCAATCAATGGCATATCATACGGATTATTATTATTACGTACTGATCTGTCTTGCATTAATATACTTCTAATACTATTATTATTATTAAATTATAAGATACTAATTACACACTTTTGTTCCTTTAGCGTGTCCTCATCTGAAGTGATGATCATGTTGGCTCTTCTAAAAAGATTTCAGAATAACACGATCTAAGCAATGAAAAGACGCGCTGAATGGAAGTCAATATGACTATTAGAGTGCGTGGGCTTTCGGTAGATGGATAGATTTAGAACTCCTTTTATATTTCTTTTCACTAAGCGATCTAAGAAAGGTAGCTTACCATGTTCATTTTCATTCGTGAATTTGATGTGAGATGAAAGTGTATTTATCCATTTTGAAAACAATCTTAGATGACTCTTTTTTATCACTACAAATGTATCATCTACATATCTAAGCCAAATTCGTGGTTTAATGTCGTTGGTGAAAATATTTGATTCTATGTGTGCCAGAAGATGCCGACATCCGAACCAGAATTCTAAGTAAAATTGAACAGTGTCCAAATATCACCCTGGAGATTGTAAACTGCATACAAAAACAAGGCATTTGAATTGATCTTCTGTCATTGCCGATAATTTAAAACGCTTACATTCACGATTTACTACGCTGGCATGTTGCACCCAATCATCGCTGCCAGCTTTTACTATCATCAGGCACTGATACCAAATATCGAATAAGGAAGACTGTTCACCGAAAGTTTGCGTTTTTCATGGCGCTCTAGAAAAGCTTCGAATTGATCAAAGGTAATAGACATTTTGATAAATTAACCCCGTCGCCAGTTGTTATATCTAGATCTTTGATTCTTACTATGCAGCGTACTACTAGGCTACTTGAACGATCGAATCCGCAACGTCGCAAGAGAAAAGACAGAAGACTAGTAAGTAGGAATTTTATTCCCCAAAAGTGTCAAAATATGGTGCGGAAATCTCATGTATTTATAGTTGTTGACTAAGAGTAAATCATCATTTCAGACAACCAATAGGCACATAGGGGGTCATTTGTATCCATCCAATGAGGAAGCTACACGTCGGCATTCTAGAATATTCCCCTAGCAGTGATTGGATGGAATGTTTTCGGATCTTTCTGGCCTTCTTGAGGCTTCTTAGAGTTTAGCGACGAGCCATCCTTACAATAGAACCAATAATCGCACAACTACCGGAAAAATAATCGCATTTATTGCGTCAAAAGACGTCCCATATTTTGACTAAACAAAAACACCTTACACCAATCATCTCAAAAGAAAAATACAAGGCTCTGCATTCGCATCAAAAAGACAAAACGATTATAATCACAAAAGCAGGCAAAGGGAACACAACAGTGGTCATGAATAGAACAGATTATATTAATAAAGCTCTTGAACATCTTGCAACAGGACCATGTGAAAAAATCAATCCAATAAATTCTCAAACGATAAAAAGTAAATTCAACTCAGAAACAAGTGAACTTTTGAAAGAGCTAAAACCAGCCATTGGGGTCTCGCTTTGGTTTGCTCTGTATCCCAAATCATGTAATACTTCACGGTTTTATGGTTTACCTAAAATTCATAAACCAGATATCCCTTTAAGACCGATAGCAGACTTTACCAACACACTGACATATGCTTTATCTAAATGTCTAAGTAGCATATTAAAGCCACTACAGCTTAACTTACATAATATGATTAAAGATACATATGACTTTAAATCAAAATTATCGAGAAGAATGAAGTCATGGTAAGCTTTGATGTCGTCTCATTATACACTAGTATTCCTATTGATAAATGCTTAGAATTCATTAGTGGTTTACTAGAGAATGACAATACTCTTTTTGACAGACGTCCTTCAAGCATCAGTTTAATCATGAGATCCTTAAAACTCTGCTTAAATTCGACTCTATTCACTTTCAACGGAATGTTAAACAAACAAACTAGTGGTGTAGCAATGGTATACCCTGTGTCCCCGATTGTGGCCAACGTTTTTATGGCACACATAGAATCAAATATTTTCACCGACGACATTAAACTACGAATTTGGCTTAGATATGTAGATGATACATTTGTAGTGATAAAAAAGAGTCATCTAAGATTGTTTTCAAAATGGATAAATACACTTTCATCTCACATCAAATTCACGAATGAAAATGAACATGGTGAGCTACCTTTCTTAGATCGCTTAGTGAAAAGAAATATAAAAGGAGTTCTAAATCTATCCATCTACCGAAAGCCCACGCACTCTAATAGTCATATTGACTTCCATTCAGCTCATTCTCTCTGTAAGAAGATCCCGTTATATATATATATATATATATATATATATATATATATATATATATATATGCGGCTACGATGGAGTTTTGTCCTTTGAGCTGGATGGTTTGGTCGTGTAAGTCTAGTGTCAGGAGTGGGATTCAAACCCACACCCACAGAGTGGACTGCGACCTGAACGCAGAGCCTTGAACCTCTAGGCTATCCTGATCGAGCTCATAGGACGAAATTCCATCAAAATCATACACCTGAGCTACAAATCTTCGCCACCATAGGCGGCTTCAAAATACGCTCTAATTGTAAGGGCTAGCAAAACTACGCTGTTAGCCAAACCGAAGTAAATGGAGCGCGATCCAAATTTGAAACGAAACGAGGTGAAAGCTAAATGTTCTAACCAATAGTCTGCTGATCCTATTCAAAAGAAAGTTATATTCATATATCGTTACCTCTAATTGTTCCATTAGGTGTTCTGATAATGTTTGGTTTAAGTGACCAATTTCAGAGATTTTCTTAGCTACTTGATGCAGTTCATCTTTCTCTTGCGTAAAATGTTGATAGAGTATTTGATTTTCAACTTCAAGTGTACGTAATTCATTTTCTGTGAAATTTTCTTCATGTCGAGATTCATGATAGTTTAAAACATCATTAGTTTTATTATTATCATTATTATTACCACGTCTTCTTAACTTTGTATCGTTGTTATCATATTTATTGGGACGCTTTAAATATGCAGTGACATTTGTACCCGATGCGGCAACAGAGCGTACACCAGTAGCAAGATTTCCTGAAAACTCGACAAGACGTTGTTGTCTCCTGATCTACATAAAGAAATAACAGAATATTAAAGAAATTTCAGGTGTACCAAAAAACGAAGCTTGAACAATTAGATTTTGAGCACCTGAGTTTTCTTATGAGCTAGCGATAAATAACCAGATAGGGTTAAACAAAAGCGCATGAAGCAGTACATCAACTTGCGACCGATTTGCTGTAATGAGAGCGCTTCAACCATTTAATTGTTTGTATTTCATAAAATGCACTTTCTTACACACCTTACTAGTTGTAATAGTTAGTAACATGATTTGGTTATGAAAGGTGACATTATATGCGATAATATTTATGTATTTAAACAAGTAAATGAAAAGTCTTTACTAGTTTGTATATAGAAAGACATGATTCAAATAAAAATCATTGCATCAAATGTTTATCACTGCCAAAAGAGTAGGAATAGCATAATTTTACTTATAGAAGAAAACAAGACGTCTCAACTACTAGACCGTATAGCATAAAATGGATAAGGTTAACTATCACTTACTATCTTAGAAAGCAAACAGACGTAAATACATTGAAAGAATTAAAAATCAAACAGCCTAGCAACCTATACTACATTGCAACTTCACCTACAAGAGATTATACTTCGCTAGAATCGTTTAGTAGTAACATTTCCGACCATCAAGCTTGATGATCCGAATTCGAATCCCATAAAGAACATGGGTTTTCACAAGACTGCAGGTTCGCATTGATGATGAGTGTCAAGATAGATGTATGTTGGAAATATCCCGAAGAAATTTCGTTTTTCATGACTTCTAATTTTCTATCTCCACGAGTCTACTTATATCTAGCCCCCAAATGCCCTGGTACGGCCGAGAGTGGGGAGAGTCTGCTCTCCCTCTCCAAATGCTCTCACATGGCCACGCGAATATATAGCCTCTACCAGGGAAGTCCTACTCACTGCCTTCTTGTGACACAGGTGTTGTTCACAAAAGTGAGAGGACGAAAAGCGAATGTACGGCGCTTTAACCGGGTTGGTGGATGTGGAGGATCCACCTAGGGGAGTTGGAAAACCCTGATTCCAAACCAATGGTGCACATGGGCTCCAGGATCCTGAAGGAACGAATGGCGTATGAACCAACTGTTGATCACCGGCTACCATGGGACTGCATCTCCTCACGATGCTACACTGCCTTGTGGATCAGAAATTCAGGTCAAAGGCTCCGGGTGTGGCCCCCTAAGAAAACCACCTGCTTCAGTTTGGGCACCTGGGCAGTATTACAGCCCTCACACAAATCGAATGAGATTTGTGAGGCGCATATTTATCTGGTGCTTCCTTGTACCAATATTTATGTGTTGAAATAAATAACTTATATCTAACTGTACTGAGGTACTCCATAAATACAAACAATTATATCATAATCAACAGGGCCACATAATCTTATTCGATTATCACTCACAATGTATGTTTGTAACCCTTTTCACTTGAAACTGTCAGAGTTGGTAATGATGATAAGATTTTGTTGAAACAATACTTTACCCATTTACAAAGTGTACATATGATTATTGATTCGTATAGACTGTATGTTTTCCAGGTTTATATGTGCATGTGAGTATACTGACAGGTACGTCTGAAACGTAATTATCACATACTAATTTGCGTTATCATTTCTCTATTATCATACCAGTGGTAATAACAGTTGCTAAGGTGTTCAAGTCAACTGGTTGATTCGGGTAATCTAATTATTAGACTGAATATTTAGATACTAGAAACTCCATGGCGTGAATAGTGGCAACTGTTAGATTTCACAATATCTCTTTAATAAGGAGCATAATGTAAGACAATTATATCAGAAATGATGAATATGACATCTTCAGAAAAAACTTCTTTGGGAGATGAGATCTAATCGACTCCATGTCTCTAAAATAATTCAGTGTCTAATCTTAAACCTTTGATTTAAAATCATAATATTTGATTTGTTTTTTTCAAAGTTAATTATGGCTAAAGTTGAATGAGTTCTAACACCATCAAAGTCGTCATATCAAATATACAAAATAAATCAATACAAACATCAATTACACTTTCTAACACTTCTAAACAAAACAGATCTTAAAAATTGTGTTTCGAATTACTTAGATCTGTTTAGAACGATTGTTAGGTGTTTGGAAGCAGCTAAAGAACAATGATGTGGGGTTTATGTTGACTGGAAGTTACCCGTAAAGCGTACGTGGGATGTTGAAGGATTGTATGTTTATCGTGAGATTCCAAAGTGATAAGACATCCAAGAATACGGACTGACATCAAGGTACTAAAACATTGGATAGTGGATAGCCTACAAACAAACTTCATGAGATTCCCTACGAGATTTTATCACGTTTATTTCGCCTTTACCTTTTTATGTAGGTATGGCATTTTACAGAGTTAGAAACCGGTTCTTTTAGGGTTCAGACAAATATCTTTTTTCTTTAAAAGACTCTAATTTATATATTTTATCTCGCGGTGGATTACTATTAAAGTAAGGTGCATAGATTGTTCAGTCCATCCAGTTAGCATAGATCTAATCCCTTATTAAGATTTCTCGATTGTTCCTAATTGAGAAATGGCGAACCCAAACTTAATTCAAAATAGAACTCGGGCAACCAAATGCATCCCACTATCGAGAAGTTTAGCCAAGTGACAATATATACTTGATTGACAGGATTAAATTGGTCGTAAGGATCAAACCACGGAATAAAGGATGCGATTCAGTGATTGGATGGTGTATTTTGAAACAATATTCAGAAATTCTGTATATTATCTTCTGTGTGGCATGAAATTAAACGCCTAAGTATACAGTTTTGACTAACTAAGAAAACAGTGAAACCTGTAGAATGACAAATTACATAAATTGAGGAACTTTAAAACACACAATGTTTGTAAATCGTAAACCAGTGGAATGAAAACGTTAATGATAGATAAGATAGAATCTAGTATGAATACGGAACAGTTTAAATATTACATAGAGATGGCCAGTTAAAAGCAAGGCCACCAGTACAGCGGGCTGATTTAAGGCTTGTGGAATAACTAAGCTGACCTTCTAAATTAAGTAAGCCATGATACTGTTGCCCAAAAAGACTATAAAAGCCATCAGACTATTTGGATCACAGAACTTATCAACGCTTAAAACGTTCACATGAGCTGCAAACGGTTCAACTTGTTACATTTAACATCAGTAAAACAAAGGGGGAAGTTGAATAAGTGGAATGACAGTCAAAAATTGGACGTACTCATACTGAACAAATAGTCAAATATTATACGATCGACATATTGGAGAAAGAAACTTACTTCACTTTCCCGCAGTTTTTTTAAAGAATCTAATTCTTCACTTAGTAGTTTATGAATTGTTAGACGATGTAATATAAGTTGATTTTTACTATTACTAATATTTGAATCATCATGTATTGAAGTTATGCTTCGATCAACTTTACTAATATCTTTTGTAGTATGAATTAGATCTTTTAATTGTGCTAACAATAAAGTACATTGTTCAATCAAAACAGTGACATTTTCAGTTAACTCAGCATGTAAACGTTGTTTAGTTGAATTGCCTAAAGTACCAGCTGTTAATTGATGAATACGTTTTAAATAATTTGATAAGACTTTAAGACTTGAATGAAGACTTTCAGCACGTGTCTGAAAAGAAAATTCATAGCCAGTAAGTGAAGTTTTTTTCTTCTCCTCCTCAGAAATGGGTGATAATTTTGGAATTGTTGGTTTAATGGATGAAACGAGTGATGTAAATAACGGGGAAATATCACGGGACATTATGATGGTGAGGATTGATCATTGATCACAAGTTGATATCTAAGCAAATCAAAATGGAATAGATGAAAATCTATTTTGAAATAAGATTAGACTGATGTCATGATCAAACAAGTATTATACAATATAGGAACGGTTAAATAAAGATGTGGCATCAATCCACGAGTTTATTGATTGTTAGTAGATGAAAACTAAATGGTTGAGATCAACTGGCTTGTTGCGACTAACAGTTTATGTTGGGTGAAACGACTGATAATCAGTCGAAATGCATATTTTCTTTGTATTTCTCTAAACCTCATTGGCACAATGAGATAAAATTGTTGGGGTAGGTCCCAGAGTAGTAAAGGCAACTTCCCATTGTTTTAAACAATGTTCTCATTGTTTAATCTTCCTCATTATTGTTACTATTACACTGTTTCGATTCCTCTGATAATCATCCGGTAAATTTCATTGCATCTTGCTAACGTGAGGTACAGTGAAATTGGTTTATGTCGGCCTTCAATTTGATTACGATGGACCGGAAAATGATTCAGTTATTTAACAAGATTAAAATAAATGGGACGAATAGTATGAAGGTAATACTTTCTTTATAGTGGTCTAAATGTTTAGACATCTTTTATTAAATGTACTTGTAGCCGATTTGAATTAGGTCTGATCATGTCTAAAATGGCCCAAAAAATAAAAAAAGAATGAAAGTGTTATGTGATGATTCTGCGTAAGCAGTGCAAAAACAACTATTGCGCCCCGGTAGTTGTACCGTGCTTCAATGTAGCACTCTTCTGCAGAAGGGCCTACTAGGCTTCACCATATTCCTATGTCTAAAATGATAGAGTTGGAAAAGCTCTAGGATTTTATTCCTAAAGTAGTGATGAGTAGACACAATTATTTGCATCTCACAGAACGATATTGCAGAGTAACTGCCACTGAGGTTGTTTTTTTTCATTGACCAAAACAACAGCATAGAGCGTTCAATAAGAAATCCAACAGGACAGCAACATATGCTCACAGCTGTGCTTAAAGATAACTTATTCTTATATCATTTAAACTGCACCCAGATTACTCGTGGTTAGACTGAATCATAATTTACCAGTTGATTGACAACAGTCAGATAATGTATTAGCAATCTTCCAGAGATATTCATGGTAGAGATGCATAGACCTACAGAACATGTTTAGGTCACAAAAACCAAGTTTCGTAGGAGTAACAAAAAGCCACTTTGGGATGGTAGAGATTTGTACCTCAGATATACACTAATGCACCAAAAGACTTACTATTTTCATTACAACAAAATTCCAGATTCAGAAAGATGATAAATTACGATTGGTCAATTTCGACAAAAAAAACACTTTATGAACATATGAAACTCAAACTAAGTTCTCTATTACTCAGATAAACTTTATCTGACAAAATTTTAAGTTCGTTGGCAATATACAACATAGTAAGCAAATATGGATAGTGTCTAGCAGTGAAATCCAGTAGGTGCGTTTCGTCCTATTCGGGACTCGTCAACTGGATGTACCTGCATCTCAGAGTTTATGTTCACTTTGGGACTCGAACCCAGTACCTTTCGCTTCAAATGCCATCGCGTTATAAACTCGGCCACTGAGTCCCGATAGCCACTTGCTTGTGCAATGGGGTGAAGTTTAAATTCACTTGGTACTGTTTGTTTGAATCTTCCCATTGATGTTTTAGGACTGCAAGGTACATCCAGCTAACGAGTCCTAAATAGGACAAAACGCGCATCCTGGATTCCACTGCTAGCCACTACCCATCTTTGCTTACCATGCTTTTGAATTTAGGCTACATCGAGGCAATACACACAATATGCACATATGCCAATTAGAGACTGACCAGTTGCAGTCCTAAAACATCAATGGGAAGATTCAAACAAACAATTTTAAGTGAATTTAATACACAACATACTTTATCGCATCAGACAATTAATTACAAATCAAAATCAAAATTTCATAATGAGAAAAATATAAGTATGAATTCTATTTATATTACAATAAGATAGTTAACATCAACTTGAAAAAAGGAACAAATCTAGAATACAGGTTTACAAATGTCTTTTTACAACAAGTGATGTTATACTTTTCCAATAACACGACTGGTTTCAGCAACAACACCGGTATCACCAACACCGACATTGTTACCATTATTAGTAGCCTGTAGATGACTCTCATTGGCAGAATCATCAACAACCATAGTTTCGTCTGGTTCTGGTCGTTCCATTAAATAAACACGACATGTAGAATGATTTTCAAAAAGCTATGGGAAGAAGTATATAAAACAGGGAATTACTAAAGAAAAGGAAGTATTAGCGGAAGAAAAGTATAATTGATTTTAAAAAATGATACAATTACAACGAATAAAGAATCTAGCAGAGATATATGTTTGTCAGTTTTAGTTGATATGCCACACCATCACGGTCAGAAAAAGTTCAAGAGATGAGAAATAAAAGGATTGGATTAAGCTGTGTAAATAGGCATGAACTACTTAGCAGTGCGCATCCACGATACTGTTAGTAATTCTGTTACTCTGGCATTTATGTTGATAATTTTCACTTAACTGTGCCAGTGTGGTATGGGAACTACGACAGATGAAAATTTGCGCCAGGCACTACGTAACTTATGACTAAAAAAGGAGTACGAATACTAGTAGTGTGGTGTGGTCTACTTATATCCATATAAGCAGTATATGGTGTTGGTTAGACATAGAATGTATTTTCGCAGAAGACCGATTAGGGAAGAACTGAAACGAAGCGTAATCAGTAGGAAAATGCACGAACAATGGAATTAGAGAAGAAACCGTGAAGATTGAGACTATTGGTCGTTAATTTGCAAATTGACTATCCATTGTATGGTTTTTAGAATTTACTGAGATAGTCTGTAATTTTTGCTTAAACACATTCGATTGTCCCCAACTAGTGTTCTGTTCACTACAGTAGTATCAATGATATTAAGAATTATTAGATGTAAGGTTTATGATTGAAAAGAAAGAATGATATGATTGGTCACATTAAATATGTTTTTCATCCTACAAACCGATTGGTTGTAATATATATACACTTGAAAGTTCTATGATTACTATGGTCACCGTAAGACTTGGATCAAAATTTACAACACACTTGTAAATTATATAACTATTATATTTGTCATAGTTTAAAGCGTGAGTAAATTGAAGCTAGACCACCATGGAAAACCTGGAAACACTGGACGGCCGTTTCGTCCTATTATGGGACTCCTCAGCAGTGCGCGTCCATGGTGGTCTAGCTTCAATTGACTCACGCTTTAAACTGTAAATATACTAAATCTCCACAAAAATCTCTGATAATTATATTATATATGTCTTAATTGTATGAATCAGGAAATAAACAGCTAAAAATTTCCACGATCTGATATGTCATTGCCCATAAGTAGTCTTTCATGAAATGGTGGAGAAGATTTGTAGCTGAGATTGATGAAGTTTTGTTCTCTGAGCTGGATGGTTTGGTTGTGAACAAAACTCCATTAAAATCTTTCATAAATTTTTATCTGTTCATCCATATGAGAGCCAATAAATCTCCGTTTATACCAATTTTTTACTTTGCGTCATAGGAATTGCAGTCGTACCCGTTCTCAAGTATACAAGTAGTGGGACCGTGGACTTATCACAACAGACACCCACATAACAGATGCCACTCCAAATATAACAAAAAAGATCTTGATATTGTTTGATCAGGAAACCTTTTCCGACTAATTCCGGACATCAGGCATCCAATAAATTTAGTGCATGTAATGTCAAGTTATTTAGTTTGATACCTACATTAAAACATGATTGATAAAGTCAGACCAGCAATTAGATGATTAGACAAATATAATATTGGTTGCTACTAAGTGATGAATCAGTTGTGAATACATCAGCTCAGTGGAAGATCTCTTGCAGCCCGGATAGCTCAATGTTGATATCTCCGACTCTGAAATTGGGAGGCGGGTTCAAATCTCGCAAGAAGTATAATTTCATTGGAAATTGAGGATACGCCTTGCTGATGAGTGACAACTAATACGAAACCTAGGTTGAGCAGGGTGTCCTGTCAACTACTTGATATCAAAAGAACAATGCATGCGGCGTCGATTCACCTAAACTGGTGGCCGAATTTTAATCTGGTCAGCGGAATTTCATCAGAACTAAAGAAGTAGACTGTTTTATCTATGTTAGGTCGGCTTACAATAAACTCTATTAGAGCCTCCAGAGAGGCTCATAAAGAGCCCAACCAATAAGCGATTAGTTAGAAGCTATGCTAATAAATTACTGAGGTCCTGATTGGCTGTTAAACATATTGCTACTATGGAATCTCAAAGTCTTTTTAATTACTATAAAACCCCTGTTTTTTCTGTACATAAATGAACCTTGTAGTAAAGTGTTTCTCTGATACTCGTGTCTTCTCTCTGGTCTTTCAAGTCGCTGAGTAGTGCTAGCCTGGGGTTATCCGAATAGCTAGGATCCGAATAAAGCATTCAACCTACGAGTCATAACAATCTAGAACATGGATTTTTTAATATACCGCGTATAACTTGAGCACTCGAAAACTAGAATCCTCCAAGACAGAAGAAGACTACTGGAGAAAGGTGCTTGTTGGGCAAGAATCAAAATGTACCGAAATCATGAGCATTTATAGATATTAGCGTTTGTTATATCAACATTATAATTCAACCATTCTGCAGAGAGGTATGTCATGTCACTGGCCAATAGTAGCATGACACATTGATATTCTAGACAGCTCCGTTGGGTTCTGCTTGGATGGAAGTCTTTGGTTCCTCTAGGACCTTTGGAGGCTCCGTCGTAGTTTTCAGAAGCCATCCCAAAATAGACAAACGTGAAATGTATCAATACTCAGTCAGTTTCGATGAGTAAATTGATGGCATGAAGATTTACAATTCGCATATTATCAATAACCATGAAATTAGTTACAAACTACTCGATAATTAAAGAGAAAAAATATAAATCTTACAACAAAAACA